AACCCTAAAACCGTAAAGCCCTAAAGCCCTAAAACCCTAAAACCCTAAAACCTAACCTTTTCAGGCAGAAAGCCACCCTAAACCCTAAACCCTAAACCCTTTTCAGGCAGAAAGCCAGGCCAAAGATGGCCCTCTTTGAGAAGCGGCCCCTGAAACGGACGCTGACGAACTTGTGCCCCGGCTTGCGGAGTTGAGCTTAGGGTTTAGGGTTTTGGGTTCAGAGTTTGGGGTTAGGGTTTAGGGTTTGGGGTTTAGGCTTCAGGGTTCCGGGTTTGGGGTTAGGGTTTAGGGTTTAGGGTTCAGGGCTTAGGGTTTAGGGTTCAGGGTTTGGGGTTTAGGGTTCAGGGTTTAGGGTTCAGGGTTTGGGGTTCGGGTTCAGGGTTTGGGGTTTAGGGTTCAGGGTTCCGGGTTTGGGGTTAGGGTTTAGGGTTCAGGGCTCCGGGTTTAGGGTTCAGGGTTTGGGGTTAGGGTTTAAGGTTCAGGGTTCAGGGTTCAGGGCTTTGGGTTTAGGGTTTGGGGTTAGGGTTCAGGGTTTAGGGTTTAGGGTTCAGGGTTCCGGGTTTAGGGTTTAGGTTTCAGGGTTCAGGGTTTAGGGTTCAGGGTTTGGAATTATAGGGTTTAGGGTTTAGGGTTCCGGGCTTAGGGTTTAAGGATCAAGGCTTAGGGTTTGCGGTTAAGATTAGGTTTTGGGATCGTTCTGGGGGAGTGGCAGCAGGCCAGTTGCAAATGGGTTTAAGGATTTTGGTATTTAGGCTTCGGGCAGATTTATGGTTCTGGGTTTGAGGGAGGTCGGGACTTCCAAAAGATTTGGGGGTCCAGGTGGTTTTAGCTTTGGGTTTTGGCTTGTGGCTTGGGACAGGCAGGGGTTTTGATTAAAAGGATTCGGGATTTAGGATTGTTAGATGTCATGCCTTCTGCGAGTTGCGTGGGATCCAAAGAATCCTCCTCCTCAGGGAAAGGGCTTTGAGCGGTATTGTCTTGGTGAATTAAGGTCGAGTGTGGGTGAAGTAGTCTGTAGTGTGTAGGGGACTACAAGTGTTTGGAGTTGGGGTGTGTAGTTCACCCGGTTTAAGTTTAAGGTTTGGGGCTTCGGGTTTGAAATCTACCTATAGTCTCCATTGTAGTTCCTTTTTGGGGATACCTTATAAGATCCTTAATATATAATTGGTTAAACCAAAAAAAGGAACTACAATGGAGACTATAGGTAAGGGTTCAGGGTTTGCGGTTTCTTCAAAGAACGAGCGTGTTGGTCTGCAGCTGCTTGACAGCATACTCCAAGCCTCGACATGAGCATCCCCAGCGCAGCCTCAATCTATCAGAGGCCTTGCCACTGGCTTTCGTTGCCGCTGAACATGGAAGTTTCCGAAAATAAGGGGTACCGTATTTTGGGCTCCTTATAATAAGGATCCTCCTATTTAGGGTACTATAGCCGGTCCCCCCCATTTTCAGAAACCCCTACCTGATACCTGAGATGGACAGGCGAGGGCACATGGCCTCGTCAAAGTACCTAGTACCTACGTAGCTGACCGAGCTCTCGGCGAAGCCGCAGCAAAGAGACACCCCCGAACCCTCAGGCCTGGAATACACTCCTCAGGCCGAAGAGACTCCCGAACTCCGAGCCCTTGACGCCCAAATCTTTCACCCGTCCATCCCCACAGCCTTGACTTCAAATTGCCCTATCGCAACCTCTCCGCAAGCCCCCCAAAAAACCCTAAACCCTGTAAACCCTTCAACCGGGTTCACCGGAATGCCAAGTGCATGGGCCCATTTTTTCCCAGGTCCATGATTGACACCGCTGCCAGTACTGGAGGCCGCTCAGGTGTTACGGAAGAAATTGCCCAGGGCGTAGACTCGCCTGCAGAGCCCGAAAAGGAGCCCTGGAATCCTATAATATAGGGGCTTGAACATTTATGGTAGAAGATACAACCCAAACCCTATTCTAACTATTATGAAGCTCTTACATTACCCCAGACTTTGACGTTCACATCTCGGATCCCAACTGCAGGCCTTAAGCAGCTTTAGGGTTTAGGGTTTAGGGTTTAGGGCTGAACGGCATGATCCGAAATTCTCTTCAAGCCAGCAGAAGGTCCTTAAGAATTATTAGGTTTGGGGGGGCTTCCTTGAAAGGGTTCCTTCAAAGCTTCCTTAAAGGGCTGCTATACTTGTTTAGGGTTTAGGGTATAGTGGCCTTAANNCCCCCCCCCCCCCCCCCAACATCATATTGAGGCCCCTATTTTAATCCTTGTCGCTGGGGGTCCGTCCTTTTCGTAAGGATCGAGGGACCTCAGTTTGGTGAAACTCCCACATCCCAGCATTCAGGACGCAGCATGCCGTACTGAAGCCCCTTTGGAATTACAACCGATGTCAGAAGCAAGGAAGATGTCCAGGCAAACAGAAAAGCGCCCTCCCTCCCTCCCTCCCTCCC